GTGTGACAGACACAGAGACAGGTCAAAGCTCCGTGAACAGAGGAGTTACAAGAAGCAGTACAGAGAAACACCTGTGCACACTGTGCCTACTAAAAAATCATTGTGAACCCCTCTTCCAAATTGGTGTTCCTTTGAACTTAACAGAGAGACAAAGGTGCTCTGGTGGCCAAGGCCAGTGACGGCTGTGTGGAGGAATGCCGAAATTTCCCCCGGGACACATACCAGGTGATGCAACCTTCACGGTGCAGGGCACCCATGGGCAGCACTGCAGGGCCGGCCCAGTCTCATGTCCAGTGTGGTGCCACTGTGCTGCTTTCCCATCTCCAGATAAAGGATGGTGTGGGTACACTGGGTGACAAGCAAGGAAGTGCCAGGACTGGCAAACACAGATCCAGAAGGGCAAGAGTAAGTCCAGAGCAAGGCCAGGCTGAGGATCCCACAGCAGCTGCTTACTAAAATCTTCCACAACCACCTTTTCTTGACTCACGTCCTTACTGCCTTCTTCTAATGTAACTGAAAGTCAGACTAGTAGTTCTTAAGTTACTGGTGTTCCAACAGGCCTAAGAATTCATGGGTTGTTAGCTCAAGGAAGAATCCTCCTATATCTATCAATAGATCTAGATATATACCCCTGGGTCCCCTGTTTCTATTTAGCCAACTGAGTTATAAATGAATGGCCTATTATTCACCCTTCATTCAACAATCACCCATTTCATCTTTGCTGACCTGGAACTGGACAGACTTCACATCATCTGTCCTCCATGGGCACCTGTTCTGACCTGTTCACATGCTGAAGAATGGAACACTAGCCAGTCAGACTACAGTGCAGGGTTGTGGGCAGAGCTTCTAGGCTTCTGGTTGGTGCAATCCTTTTAGAGTAGGTCTGTTCTTGGCATCTGAAAACATTCACCTGTAGGGGAAGCTGCTGGTTCCTGAGCTATGCTAGGAGTGATCCTTAGTGCATTGGGGGAGAGGGTGGGAGGAGGGTGTTAATAGTTTGTCCTAAGAGTAACAGGCGGCCCTCACTGACCACAAGGTAGAGGCACCACACAAGAGAGGAAGCAATCTGTTTCCTGTGGGTGGTCCAGGCCATAGGCACAGGAAGTAGGCAAGACTTAGCTTAGCGCCTCCCCCTGGAAGAAGATTTCCCAGCATCCTCCTGCCTTCTTCCCTTTTGAAAAGCTGGCCTAGAGGTGGATGGTTTCTCTTGGGACACTATGGTCGCTTTCTAGCTGTGAACACTGGGGGCTGTGTGCAGGGTATTGGCAGTGTAGCAGCTGAGACCAAGTATCTGGCATTACACCAGTGTGGGTCAAACTACCAGCTGAGAGCAATAAAAGTATCAAACCATTTATTGAGTGCTTACTATGTGCCAGACATTGTGCTAAACGTCTCCATTATGTCATGAAGTGCTCATGCCCAGCTGAGACACGTGGAAGCTGACAGTAGCCTTGTAACCCATCCAGACCTAGAGCTAAGCCTGAAGTCTGATTTCTTGACCATTGCTTTTAGCCTCCTTCCTAGAACCTCACTTTCCTCATCATATCAAAGAGGTTTTCCAGATTAAAAAGGGCACCATATGCAAACCCTTAGCACTGTGCCTGGCACATATTAAGCACTATATGATTAGTCACTACTGAACACATTGCTGGTATCTCATTGGTTAGAGAACAGCAGATAAAGATCCTGCAGACACATCTGAAGGAGGGATGGAGGCTTCAAATAGCCAATGCGTTTGAAACTCACTGGCCATAAAACTCCAGAGTTCACATATTCTGGCTATTATCACAAACCATCCACATCTAAAAACCTACACTGTATGCTCCTATAAACTGCTCACAACACTAAGAGTTTGCACCAGCTGCTCTTTGGAGTCCTGTGCTCCAAATAGGCCAACAATCCACCCAGCGCTTACCATCTTGTGATGCTTCTATATGACAGTGACCTGGACATATTCCCTCCCACTGCCTTTCCTCCCCATCCTGACCTGTGAAGAGCAGGCACCTGTTCAAGTGAAATCACCCCCTCACCTCTACTCCCACATATAAATGCATGTGCAAAAAAAGTACTCAGATGTCTTTTGTCTTTCAGAGGAACTCACAACAGTGCCCAGGATATTAACGACAAATGGAGCGGTTACAGCAGAGGTTATGGAGGAACACAGCCATTGCACCAGTCTTCTATGCAGTGTGTCCTCGAGTCATTCACACCCTGCCCAACCCAGTTGTGTCAACAGCACAGATAGACTTGAGACTGCCAGGGACTCACTCAACTCCAGAGATCCATGGGAACCAGGCTCCTGTCAACCCAGCTGCTCACCTAGATCCAACCACAGGACCTGTGTAGTTTCCCTCAAAATATACTCTGGAAAGCTAGACGCCAGTGGCTCACGCCAGTAATCCTAGTAATCAGGAGGCTGAGATCTGAGGATTGGAATTCGAAATCAGCCTGGGTAGAATAGTTCCTGTGAGACTGTCATCTCCTATTAACCACTCAAAAACTGGCTCAAGTGGTAGAGCACTAGCCTTGAGCACAGACAGGCTCAGAGACAGTGCCCAGGCCCTGAGTTAAAGCCCTACAACCAACTATATATACACACACACACACACACATATTACATCTATGCAGACACATATGTACGTATATGTATATATGCATATATATTTCTGGAAATTTCGTGCATAACATAGGTTGTTGGGGGGGAGCCCAGTGGGTCTATCTGTGTAAGGTTCAAAGTTACATTTCACCCTTCTGAAGAGAGACTCATTCACATATTTTATAGACCTTCATTTTAAATATGGTGAAACCTGAGTGACTATGAGACTCAGAATCTGGGACAAGCAAAACCAACAAACATTAAGGAAGAGCCAGCAGCTCTAGCAGGAGTCTCTTTCAGACGGAGAATGCAGGTGTGCACTTTCTGATGCTGCAAGTGGTTTAGAGGGGAAGACCTGATGTCTTGAGTGAACAGCCATGAGCAGATCTCACCAGGGCACACCCAGGCTCCTCCAGCTTCCATGACCAGCTCTGGTCTGAGACCCCTTTGTTCATCTCCAACTCAGCTAACAGCAACTGAAGATCCAACCTGGCTGACTCCTGAGCTGAGGAAACGCCACAGCACTCTGGGTGGGAGTGGGGTAGAGAAACCATCTGTCCCTGTGTAGGGGTGAAGCGGCATGAGCCCTGATCACCTCACGCCCTGGGAAAGCTCTCTCCTGAGTAAGGTGCTCATAGCTCTCACTGGAGGTATCTAAGAAGGCTGTTAAGAATGAATGGGTATTGGGAAGGTGGCTTAGTGGTAGAGTGCTTGCCTCGCATACATGAAGTCCTGGGTTCGATTACTCAGTACCACATACACAGAACAAGCCAGAAGTGGTGCTGTGGCTCAAATGGTAGAGTGCTAGACTTGAGCAAAAGAAGTTCAGGGACAGTGTCCAGGGCCTGAGTTCAAGCCCCAGGACTGGGTCTTGAATGAATGAAAAAAAGAATGAAAACTGGAAAACAAATCAAAGTCTCTAAAGCAGGACCACCCCACATCTCTGAAAACAATACAGTGCATGAAGTAGACGATTAAATTCATGACAAAAGAGGGCACAAGGTTTCAGTCATATTTTATTTCTGAACAAAAGAAAAAAGGTATGTGTGTGTGGGGGGGGGGGGGGGGGGCAGGGGGTCCCTAAAGGAAGTTATGCAGATTATTAAGGTCTGCATGGGTGCATGTTAAGTCTCTGGGATCAGGTCTGCAAATGGGAGCAACACTGCTCTGCAGACACAAGGTGGCGCTGCTCTCCTGTCTACTTGACTAGCAAATTATTCCTTCCTTCAGCAGAAGCATTCCAGACCAAAAAATAAATAAAATCCATGCTGCCTCTCTTACCTCTTACTGGCAGCTTTAGTTTCTCAAAATGCCTTGCCAGCAACCACTTCCACAAGAGATCACAGGTCTCAGCAGCTGCTGCTAGACTCTTCCATCCTAAAAGCTGAGGATGTCTGCTGCTGGATCCCAGCAGACCTGTTCTCAAGGATCCCACCACATGGAGGTGCAGGCACACATCTGGGTCAAGCTGTCAGCAAATTAGTCTCACAGCTAATCACTGTTTAAGGATTCTTGCTGAGACACTGACTCATGAAAGACGCAGTAGCGTTCCCCACATGACAATTCCCCGAGGAGCTTCAAGTCACAGAAGTTTGCTCTGCAGGATCATGGACTACCGGAATTAAAAGACAACCCAGATGCTGGTGGCTCATGCCTGTAATCCTAGCCACTCAGGAGGCTGAGATCTGAGGATCATGAATCAAAGTTAGCCCAGGCAGGAAAGTCCATGAGATTCTGACCTCCAATTAACCACCAGAAAACCAGAAGTGGTGCTGTTGCTCAAGTGGTAGAGTGCTTGCCTTGAGCTCAATAGCACAGGGACAGTGCCCAGGCCCAGAGTTCAAGCCCCATGACCAACCAAAAAAAAAGCCCAGAAAACGGGGAACCTGAAAAAGATGCTTCCTCCCAGGCCAAACTGAAACACTTGACAATAGTGTTACATATGTTTTAAGGGACGCTAGACCTGAAAAGCAAAGCTATGAGGCAAAAATGAAAGTAAAGGCTCAGAGGAAAAGAAGCTGCTTCATCTCATACCCATGCAGGAAATGATGCAGGGATGGGAAAACCAGAGTCCTGCTAGGCTCTGCCCTCTCTCCTCAGTCTGAGCTGACTACAAGCTTTCAAGGAGGCTAACTTAAAAATACCACAAAGCAGCGCTTGGCCAAGGTGCTCAATCAAGTCCTATACCTTCACTGTCCATGGGAACAACTGTGGCATGGTGATTGAACATGTTTGGGCACCACATTCTCTCTCCCATACTCAGCTGTTCATTGGCCAGACAAAGAATGAGTCTGTGTTCCCAAGCCAACTGCCCTCTATGATCAGGAAGGAAGGAAAATAAATCACAGCTTCCACAAACAACATAAACGGTCCCCCAGTAAGATACAAACTACATTTAAACTAGTCACATTATATAAAAAGTATACATTTAATTTTCACAATAACCAAGCCTCTTCTAAGGTTGGGTTGGCCAAAGTTTTAAGCAGGATTTGTAGATTCGATGAAGAAGTCATGGTATAACTGAAATTCACTGTAAGAAATAAATGACTTTTTTAAAACGAAACACACAGACATGTACTTGCCTCAAGAGTAATATACACAAAACACAGCAGCGACATGAATGTTCAGGCAAAGGGTGCGTGAACAAAAAGCCCCCTGCTCCTTGCCTCCTGGGAGAGCCCCCAGGAAGACTTCAGCAGCAGCAAGTCTACAGCACGAATGCAAACGACCTCCAGCCTCATCCCTGAAAGATGCAGTTCACTGGACCGCCCTCCAGGAGACAGAGGAGCCTAAATCATGGGAAAGGGCTTGGGTACAGTGCATTCTTACTGCATACCTTTGAAATATTACAGTGTCTTTTTCTCCAGACTATTATAAATACTTCTTTCTGAAAACAATAAAATCTGGAACGTTCTTTCGGTCTGTGATGAAAGAAGATGAAATCATACTAAGAAGGCGGAGCTTATGCACCCTGTACAAGATTTCAGGGTGGACAGTACTCGGCTGCTTACTAAGCTTCCATCCCTCTGGCCTACAGGAGGCAGCCTTCCCTAGCTTCCCAGAGAAGCCCTGGTAGAAGCTGCTGAATGCAGCGAATTCATGGAAAGCCAGTACAGGCGTGAGAGCCCCAGAACAGGTGGAACACAGATGAATATCCACTCTAATACAATGAATGCAGGTTCAAACCACCAAGCAGACACCCTGAGCTAGGCAACAATCTTACAGGTTGCTCAATGATTGTTTTAAAAAATCCAAAGCATTTTTACCTCCGTGACTTCTTTCCAACTCAGAGAGATAGTTGACTAATTCAAATCATGAACATATACACTGTATATACAGGTTGTTTTTTTTTAACCCACAAATAAAAAACACCCTACCAAAAAAAAAAAAGAAAGAAAGAAAGAAAGAAAGGTGAGTTGAAGCTTGTTGTCTAAGTCACAGCAGTTGGGCCTGCCTTGGAGACCTGCCCCTCACTCAGTCCTGCCCCTGCTCTGCTGGCCTGGATGGCCCCTACTCGTCCTCAGTGGTGGCTGTCAGAATCCCCTTGTCGGTCAGGTGAGACTTGAGTGTGTTGAAGATGTGGAGCTGCTGGTCTGGCCGCAAGGTAAGGAACTGCTGGATCAGTTTACTGGGGTTAGGGCCCCTGCAACAGAATAGGAAGAAACAGCCTTGAGCAGGGTCCAGATGCTTCAAGGCCCTGATTATCCAAGCAGTTACTCTAATCTCTGGATTCTCTACTAGAAAAGGGAAGAAGGGGACAGCAAAAACTCATAAGCAGTAACAACTGAAAACCACCATATTCAATATTTAAGATGGGTTTCGTTTGAATTTACATGCAGATAAAATCCTAGAATTGCATCATACTTAAAAACATCTACCAAGTTGGGTCAGGTAGAAAAAGTTATACCTGATAAAACTGGCAATGTACACATTAACAAATGTGGCCATCAGATACTGGCAATCAAAGCGATCCATGATACCTCCATGTCCAGGAATGGTATTGGCAAAGTCCTATTGGAGACAGAGGAAGAAGTCAGCCTGGGCTCAGTCAATGACAGAATCCCAACCAGTTAGGGTGTCCACTGCTGTGCTAGTAGCTGAAGGGAATACAAAGAAACACTGAAGCAAAGGCTAAGGCTATAGCAGGACATGAACTTAATAAGTTACAGACTGTTCTAAAGAAACAAAACTTAATCAACTGTAAACCAATCACTGGATTTTCTTGGAAACAATGTACTTTTGTACATTTAGTACTAGAGTCAAGAAGAATCCACATAGCCTGGTGCTATGAAGTGGTGGTGGCAAATGATGGGGTGTGATCCAGAGAGGGGAGAAAAGCAGACAATAAGATGAGAGGCACAAAAGAGGAAAATCCTACTTTGATTTTAAAGGCTCTTTTAAATCCACTTGCGAAGAACCCTCCAAAGGGACCAATGAGCGAGGCAAACGTGGAGAGGGCGATGCTGTGAATCTGGAAGGGGTACATCCGGACTGTTTTCTGAAGAGAAAAAATAAAGTAAAAGTTAAGATGTGTACAAATCCGATTTTATTATGTTAACAGAAATAACTTTTCCTTGTTTTGGTTTTTTCAGACAAGGTCTTGTTAGCTGCCCAGGCTGGACTTGAATTCACTATGTAGTTTAGGCTACCCTCAGCCTCCCAAATGCTCTGAGTACAGGAACATAAATCACTATGCGTGCTTGAGAAATAACTCTTGGGGGCTGAGAAGGTAGCTCAGTGGCAGAGTTCTTGCCTTGCATGCATGAGGCTCTGGTTTCTATTCCTCAGCATTACATAAGCAAAAAAGCCGGAAGTGGCACTGTGGCTCAAGTGGTGGAGCACTAGCCTTGAGCTGACAGAGCTGAAGAACAGCACCCAGGCCCAGAGTTCAGGCCCCATGATTGACCCAAAAAAAAAAAGGACTGACCTCTCTTTTTCTGGTTATTTTTGTTTTCAGCAGTACTGGGGTTGAACTCAAAGCTTGTGCATGCTTGGCAGAAGCTCTATCACTTGAGCTATGTCCCCAGCCCCAGAATTTTATTTAACTTTGTGCTGCTACTAAGGCTTAAAAGTCAAGAACTCATGTTCACTTGGTATTCGTACTGGCAGCTGGCATTCTGCCACTTGGGTCACTTTCAGCCTGGCTTTTTACTGACTAATTGAGGCAAAGTCCAGTCTGACTTTTTGCTGGCTAATTAGAGATGGAGTCTCATACGTTTTTCTGGGCTAGCTTTTTAAACTGAACCTCCTGAGGCATTAGGATTATAGGTGTGAGCCATCAGTGCCCAGCCAGCCCTGGAATTTAAGTGGTTGTTAAAAATTAAGGGCAATGTGGAATATGAAATACTGTAAGTACTAATGATTTTTTTGTGTTCTCTAACACTAAAATCCATTGGGCTTCGTGCATTCTAAGTGAAACAATGAATTGATAATTTAGAGAATGGCTTACTAGGTTATACAAATCACCCAAATGTAGACATGTATCATTATTTAATGTCAAAATATCACTGGCAGAAATCAGAACTGCATGCAAGTACCAGCAAACTGACAAGCTCACAGTGGTAGATACATGCTTCCCAAAACTCTAATTTTCATGTGAAAGTCAAATTTTATCATTGGTAACAACTGCTGTCAGTCATTTTCCTTGAAGTGATAGACTGCTTCATTATTGTCAAGAAAAATGTCAAAACTAGTTCATTCTTTCAAATAAAAATTATATTCCCAGAGAAAAGCAGCTAGTTCTATTCGCAACTCAAATGCCTACATATTCTTTTCCTTTGAGAACACACTATACATCAGCATTTGGCAGAAAGGTTTCCTGTATACTTCCCGTTTTAGTACAGAGTATTAAAATGGCACGTATGCAAGGGTCAAGAGTTAATAAAAGCCAGACACTGGTGGCTCATGCCTGTAATTCTAACTATTGAGGCTGAGATTTGAGGATCACGGTTCAAAGCCAGCCCAGGCAGGAAAGTCCATAAGACTTTTATCTCCAATACACTCCTCAAAAATGGCCAGAAGTGGCACTGTGGCTCAAGTGATAGAGCGCTAGCCTTGAGCATAGAAAGGCTCAGGGACAGCACCTAGGCCCTGAGTTCAAGTCCCATGACCAGCAAAAAACAAAAAAAGAGTTACCTTACTTATGTAACTATAACCCCTCTGTACATCACCTTGACACTAATTTTTATAGTGATTTCATCAAGGACATTCACAGGAGTGCTTGTACGCAGAGGGAGGGGAGGATGCCATGAAACAAGCACTGTCCTGATGGTCCAGGTGGTGCCAGGGCCTCAGCTCACATATAGTGCCACACTTTCACCCACGGCTGCTTTCGTATCATCACAATATTGCCATGAAACAGCAGGAGCCTCATGGATTCCTCTAAAGGGATCTCAAGGCTCTCTAGGAACCACAAATACACTTCACAAAGCACTGGCTTAAATGATGTAAAGTGGTAAAAAGCTCATTCTACCTTCACCGTGACCTGCTTGAACAATTTTCTTCCACTCCAAGGGTGACAGCTTTGGGAGGGAGGAAGCCAGTGTTTAGGAGGGTAAGTAGCAGTGGAGGGGGGTTGCTCTTTGCAGTCACTATCCCACCTCTTTACCCTATGTGAGTGACACATACCCAGCCAATGACCGACTGGATCACCCCAGGAATGTTGTACTCCTGCAGGCGGAATAGGTCAGAGGGCTCACAGTCCACAGTAAAGCTGTTGGTGTCATTGTTGTACTCCACAGGACAGACGAAGCATCTGTATCCAGACATCACATAGGACAGCTGAAGATGAAGAACAGAGAGGCTGACAAAACAAGACAAGTTGCTGCCAGCCAGCCAGAAGGGCTGGCACCAGCCAAGTTCACTCACTGCAACCTATGTGCTACATCATCAAAACGTGTTTTTTACTTGAGTTTTTTTTTAATTTAAAGCCATTTGTGTCTACCAATCTCACACATATATACCTAAACACAGAAACTTCCAAAGAATCCAGGAAAAACCTGAAGGAATTTGAGCAAAGAACAGTAAGAGTCCCGGCCCATTCTGCTGAGCATCTCTAAACTCACTGACAACTGGAGAGAGAAGGCCATGGGGAATGGCACAATGAAAGGCAGTCAGCCTTCTTCCTGAAGGAAGAAGTCTAGACAGCAATAAAGTCATGGAGGTTAGCACTAAGGAGGGGCAGGCAGACAACACCAGAAGCAGAAAAGAGTATCCTTGTAAGAGCTGGTCCACCTCTAAGTGGGTCACAGTGAGAAAAATCTAGGCTGGAGTAGCATCTTTCACTTCACTCACTCTCCGAGGCCATTCACCCTGATCTTGAAATACTAAAGTCTGGAACAAGAATACTGCCTGCTGAGTGTCACCATCTCTAGGCATGACAGGGTCTACAAAGTACACACAGCCACTGTTCCTCAACTTACTTGAAAACGGGTAGGTAAGGAACACTGGAGCTGTTGTGCCAGCTATGGAATGGGCTAGGTTCCTGCCCCTCTTTGGAGCAAGGTAACCACTTAGCAGGACAGTGTCCCTAGCGTGGGGGACATCTCTTGGAATCTCTTGCATAGGTCTTTGAAAATGCTGCAAGGCCTCTGTCCACTTCCCCACCAGCCTAGAACCACCACCTACCAAAAGGCCAAACACTACAGTAGCAAAGAAGCCCCCGATGAAGCCTTCCCAGGTCTTCTTCGGCGAGAGCTGTGGACAGAGAGAATGTTGTTAGCACAGGCAGTTTCAGTAGCTCTGGTTTTGAAAGATGATTACTTTTATGTCTATCATTAAGCCTCCATTCTAAATTCCCCCCAAATACAGCTTCCTGTTCCTCACGTTACACCTTTCAATCTCCTTTGTTTCAAATGGTCGTGTTTTTTTTTTTTTAAATTGTAAAACTACATAACCTACTGGTAATATTCAAATACAGCTCAAAAAGCCCCAAAATAGTCTGTGCTTTATTAGATTTCTTGTACCATTAACAGTTGTCAGTATTTTCCTTTGGCTTTCCTTTCTTTTTTTATCTTTTCTTTCTTTATTACATGGCCCAGGCTGGTCTGGAATTTCCAGTCTTCCTGCTCAGTCTGACTGTTGGAATTACAGGTATATACCCACCACAGCTGGCTTTTCCTTTGACTTTTCTTTATAATCAACATTCTCTCAGTCTGCCCCAAGAGTGAGATGAAGACATATGGACATAGTTCCTCTGTCAGGCTGACCTACTGATACAGAAAACATTCCCTTCACTTGTGGTGGTCCACGTTAAGGTGATTCACGTACCTTGATGAGTGGGGTCCGACCAAAGAAAAAGCCAAACATATAGGCCATGATGTCATTACAGATGACGCAAGAAATGGGAACAATAAACCTAGGAAATAAGTTGAAGTGAGGATCAACTCTACCAAGTCATTAATACCTCAGAAGTCTACCAGGCTATGCCATTCACAAATTGCAATACAAAAAAAGTCAGCCGGGCGCCGGTGGCTCAAGCCTATAATCTTAGCTACTCAGGAGGCTGAGATCTGAGGATTACGGTTCAAAGCCAGCCCGGGCAGGAAAGTCTGTGAAGCTCTTATCTCCAATAAACCACCGGGAAACCGTAAGTGGTGGTGTAGCTCAAGCGGTAGAGCGCTCGCCTTGAGCTGAAGAGCTGAGGAACAACGGTCAGGCCCAGAGTTCAAGGCCCATGACCAAACAAAAAAAAAAAAGTCTCAGTGTTCTTACAGCCCAGTAATGAATACATTAGAAAGAAAAAATATGTCAAGAAAGCAATACTCTGTGGCTGACATACTGCAGCATACATACAGTTGTTCTGAATGACTACTGGATAAATGGAAGTGACATTTTACAAATGTCCTCTGCTGTTTTCCTAAAATATGCATGTGGCATATTTTGGGGCTTAATTAGAGATAAGATAAACTATAAAAGGATAATAAACTATAAAAGGAAGAAAATGTTACATGTCCCTTCTATTGCTATCTCCATTTCCAAGAATATATACCAGGGCTGGGAAGGTGGCTCAGTGGTAGAGCGCCTGCCTTGCATGCAAGAGGCCCTGGGTTCGATTCCTCAGCACCACATAAGCAAAAAAGAAAAAAGCCGGAAGTGGTGCTATGGCTCAAGTGGTAGAGTGCTAGCCTTGAGCTAAAGAGCTGAGGGACAGTGCCCAGGCCCAGAGTTCAGGCCCCACAACCGGACCCCCCAAAAAAATTTAAAAAATAAAAAAGAATATATATCAAATCATTCCTAATTTTTCTTCTTCTAGTAGTTACTTCCTCACTTCTAACTAATGTATTTTATACATTATTCTCTGTTATAACTTACCTTTTCCACTGTTTGTTTTTTTTAGTCAGTCATGGGGCCTGAACTCTGGGCCTGGGCGCTGTCCCTCAGCTCTTCAGCTTAAGGCTAGTGCTCTACCACTTGAGCCACAGTGCCACATCAGGCTTTTTCTACTTATGTGGTACTGAGGAATCAAAGCCAGGGCCTCATGCATACAAGGCAAGCACTTTACCCCTGAGCCACCTTCCCAGCCCCTTTCCACTGTTTCTTATAAACACTAGTATGCCTTTTTTTTCTTAGGATGACCTGGGGAGAAAAACTCTATATCTAGCTACATTCTTCCTTGCCACTCCCCCATTAATCTGATTTCCCCACTTGTACCAGCTTACTTCTCTCCTCACCCTCTAACACTTTCTAAAATTCTTCTACTACAGTTTAACACCTTAAACAAAAATCTTGACTTCCTGGCCCAACAATTGCAGACAGTATTTTCTAATTTCCTGTCTGAGGAAGGGATTTAGAGAATCTATACCTTTTTCACCTAATTTACCTCCCAACTCCTGTACTATCTAGGTTCTACAATTGTGACTATGTCCTCATTAGAAATTTTAATATTAATCAAGTTATTAACTTGTCCCTAAATGTGAGCACTCTAAACATGTCACTCGTAAGAAACACCTAACATGGCTAGGCACTGGTGGCTCATACCCATAATCCTAGCTATTCAGGATGCTGAGATCTAAGGATTGTAGTTTGAAGCTAGACTAAACCGTCCAAATAATCAAATTATTAACTTGTTCCTAAATGTGAGGACTTTAAACATGTCACTCTTAAGAAATACCTAACAGGGATGGACACTAGTGGCTCACACCTATAATCCTAGCTATTCAGGAGGCTGAGATCTAAGGATTAGAGTTCAAAGCTAGATCAAGCAGGAAAGTCTCCAAGCATGAAACTCTCCAAGTAACCACCAAAAGAGCCAGAAATGGATCTGTATCCCAAGTGGTAGAGTGCTAGCTCTGAACAAAAACAAAAACAAAAAACACATTTATTTAGTAGCCATGTATTATCCTACTTAGTAGCCATGTATTATCCTTTCACACACTGCCAAATTCTGTTTACTAATACTTTAATTAGAATGGTTTGTTTATGTTTTCTATTGTAAAAATAGTGTACAGAGGGGTTACAGTAACATGAGTAAGATAATGAGTACATTTCCTATCAAACATTGTTACCTCCTCTGTTTTTCCCCTACCATCCCTTTCCTCCCCACCTCCCTAATAGAATGGTTTATAAATCACTAAAAAAGAAATCAGATTCTCACTCCTTTCTTGCTCCTTCTCAGCTTTGGTATAAGAGTTAAACACTCATCTGTTAATCTAGTTAGTCCCATTTATTTTTCCAGATGTGAAATTTACAATTTTTAAAGCTCTTTTCTAAATTACTGCACTACCCAAATTTGCTTCTTTGTATATTTTAGCACTCACAACTGGCTAAGAAAGCATGAACATTTCCTCTATAGTTTTAAATGTTGCCATATAGTTATACTGGAGTTTGGGCCCTGACAGGCCACTTTAGGCCTCACCTGGTAATGTACTCAAATTCTCAGGCCCACTCCAGACCTACTGAATCAGCCATTTGTATTGTAACTACCCTGAGGGGATTCTGATGGACTGAAGGTAAAAAGTACTAACTTGAAAGGTAAGGCAGGGGTTCTAACCCTACATGTGAGAAACACCCACACAATTAAAGGGGAAATTATCCCATTTGTATCACTCACCAGATCATTCCTTCAAACAGGTTGTGGATAACAAGATGTGACTGGGTTACAACAATCAGTAATGTTACATGGGTCCAGCCAAACTACAAAAGAAGAAAAATAAACTATCTCTAAAGTAATTTCAAAGATCAAAAGACTAAACAGAAGATCAAAGAGAATAAATAGCTGGGCTCTGATGGCTCACACCTGCAATCCTAGCTACTCAGGAGACTGAGATCTGAGGATCACGGTCCAAAGCCAGTCCAGGCAGGAAAGTCTGTGAGATTCATCCCCAATTAACCACCAGAAAACTGGAAGTGGTGCTGTGGCTTAGGGGTAGAGCAATAGCCTTGAGCAAAAGGAGCTCAGGGACAGTGCCCAGGCCCTGAGTTCAAGCCCAAATAGAATACTGCTAAGAAATAGGAAACAGTATTTTTGTACATGACAATGAAAATGAAAAGGTACAAACCAGGCTTCCGAAAGAAATGCTTTGTAACATTATTCCCATCACCAATAAAAGAAGAACAATATAGTCCACTAGAGAGTGAGTTCTTTAATGCTCTGAAGCCTGTATATTTTCAATTTTCCTAGTGTTTACTGAGTTCTTGAGATACTCAGAGAAATGTTCTCAAGTTGAGATAGAGAATGACCAGAAAGGAAATGATGAATCAGACAGAGTATCTATCGACAATGATTGACATTGTAGCTTATGCATTACCTTTCACAGGTTTTGTGGAGAGATTGGACTTGGCATGAGTTAAGTAGCAGTGGCTGGGTCTATGTGGATACAGAGCCACCAACCTAAATTAAATGGGCACTCTTCCTTCCTGATCTAGATGCTACAGAACATACCATAGGCCAAGAGTTCATTTTCTGTTTTTGTCAGTCCTGGGGCTTGTACTGAGGGCCTGGGTGTTGTCCCTGAGCTTTTGTGCTCAAGGCCAGTGCTCTACCACTTTGAGCCACAGCCCCACTTTTGGTTTTCTGGTGGTTAATAGGAGATAAAGAGTCTCACAGACTTTCCTTCCTGGGTTGGCTTTGAACCAAGATCCTCAGATCTTAGCCTCCTGAGTAGTTAGGATTACAGTCGTGAGCCACCAGTGCTCAGCTAGGCCAAGGGTTTGTTGCCACAAACTATTCAGTTTCTACAGATCTTCAAGTAAATTAAGAATCTGGACAGGGCCACACACTGGTATCTCACACCTGTAATCCTTAGCTACTCAGGAGTCTGAGATTTAAAGATCGTGGTTCAAAGCCAGCCCAGGTAGGACAAGTCCAGGAGACTCTTATCTCCAATTAACCACCTAAATAAATAAATAAATAAATAAATAATAATAAAAGCCAGGAATAGAGCTGCAGCTCAAGTGGCAGAGTGCTAACTTTGAGCCAAAGAAGCTCAGAGACAGTGCCCATACCTAGAATTCAAACCACTAGTGTACATGTGTGGGCACATGCATACATAGTGCACACACACACACACCACTTACCATGTAGAACTGCAGTCGATAATGTTTCTTGACCAGACTCAGTACAAACATGCAGAATCCTAGATGGAGAAGCAGAAAGGGTAAAACAATTCACACTCTGCCCTGCCTTTCTGTCATTTCTTTAAACTGTGTTAAGTAATCTGACTAATGCCTTTGCAACTGTTAACTGTACATAATTTCAAAACCCAGAGAAGAACTAGTCATCCAGATAAGCAGTCAGAAGGAGAAACTATTACAACAGCCCAGCTGTTTCTGCTCCAGACTACAAAGGGGCTAATAGAGACTCAGAAAGATTACTAAGTTCCTAGCCCTCTGAGGTTGAAGTCTTTTCAAACTCAAATCTGCTACCATTTCCACCCCAGTGCAGTGCCTCTCAAGGATGTTGCTAAGATGACTCCAATAAAGATGGCCCAGGTCTAGATGATTCTTTTCCAGTCACACTCAATCTTTACCAACAAGAGTCAGGCCAAGGCCATGCTCAAGCCTAGGTTGCACAGACAGCCAATCCCATAAGTTCATACTATACTCTCCTAGTCTACTGTTTCTCTTAATAAAGAGCTGCTCACTAAGAAAGAGCTATAATGTGGGGTGCTGATGGCTCAAGCATATAATTCTAGCTACTCAATAGGCTGAGATCTGAGGATAGCAGTTCAAAGCCAGCCCTGCAAGAAAACCTCTGAGACTCATACCTCCAATTAACTATTGGAAAACCATAAGTGGCACTGTATCTCAAAGTGGTAGAACCCTAGCCCTAAGGAAAAAGAGCTCAGGGTCAGAGCTTACACATCAAATTCAAGTCCCATGGGAAGGGAAGGGAAGGGGAGGGGAGGGGAGGGGAGGGGAGGGGAGGGGAGGGAAGGGAAGGGAGGGGAGGGGAGGGGAGGGGGAGGGGAAAGAGAGGGGGAAGGGGAAGGGGAAGGGGAAGTGGAAGGGGAAGGGGAAGGGAAAGGGGAGGGAGAAGGGAAAGGGGAGAGGGAAAGGGAAGGGGAAGGGGAAGGGGAAGGGGAAGGGAAAGGGGAGGGGGAAGGGAAAAGGAAAGAGAAAGGGGAGGGGGGAGGGAAAGGAAAAGGGGAAGGGAAAGGGAAAGGGAAAGGGGAGGGGAAAGGGAAAGGGGAGGGGGAAGGGAAAAGGAAAGGGAGGGGGAAGGGAAAAGGAAAGGGAAAGGGGAGGGGGGAGGGAAAGGAAAAGGGGAAGGGGAAAGGGAAGGGGAGGGGAGGGAAGGGGAGGGGAGGGGAGGGAAGGGAAGGGGAGGGAGAAAGCTGTCGAGCTCACTCTCTGACTTGGTCAGAGTTAACATCAGAAAACCAAGGAATTTCTCAACTTCTGAAAAGTCAGATTAAAAACAATAACAATGAGCTGGTGAAACACTTATTGCATACCTGTGAGATAGAGAGTAAAGGAAATGAAGCGGTGGTATTTACTGAGAATCCGCAAAGGCTCCTCTCTCTGGACCAGAGTGAAAAAGTAATCCGTCACTGTCTCACCATAGAAGAAATAGTTTACACACAGGAGAAAGTACCTGGAAATGAAGACAAGGCAGTGTGTGGGAGCACATGCATGCTCCTCTATAAGGCCCTCAGAAATTCTGAGGAGGAAAGAGAAACAGCCCACCTTGCCTCAAGACCCTGTAACAGCTTGCAGATGGACTAGCAAACTAGTTTTCTGCTTCCACTCTGACATCATTGCTCTAAAAGATTGTCTTGAATTGGCACTTGTCATTCACTCACCCTTTAACAAATATGGGACTCAGTTGTTGCCCCTATTGTGGTATTTCCCAACCTAACCTCAGAACTCTCCAAAATGTGCTTTGTCCTGTCTCCCTGGACTCATTCCCACTCTTCCCAAAGGAATTTTCAACTCCTACTTAAAAAAAAAAAAACCCATGCAGCTGGACGTGATGACTCAAGCCTGTAATCCTAACTATTTGGGAAGTGGAGTAGATTACCATTCAAGGCCAGCCATGGTGAGAAAAGATCACAAGATTTTATCTTAACCAATAGTTAGAAGTAGATATGTGCCTCTCCTCCCTGCTCTGGTAGAAGCATGATGGCTGGGTGCTGTGCTGTGTCATCCCAGTGAAATGGGGGAAGACTAGGAAGATGACAGTCCAGGCAGGGTCAGGCATAAAGTAAGACCCTATCTGGAAAATAACTCTAAAAGGAGCTGGAAGAAGTGGTACAAGTGGTAGAGCACTTACCTAGCAAGCATGAGGCTCTCTCCAAAACAAAACAAAAAAAAGTTCACTCTGGCTTTGCCACTAACTGCTCTGCTTTGCCTCTTCCTTATCTGGAACATCCTCTTCACATCCTCTTTTGCTTGTTCAAATAGCATTTTCTCCAAAACAAAACTTTGCCTGACCTCACATGCTATCTATAGCAAGTAGTACTTGTTCATTTTACTAGGTGATTACCTGGACTCCATCTCATGGTATCACCCTCCCAGAAGCCTGGCTTGTCTGTATTCTTTCACTAGTACAAAGTCTGCATATAATGCTTCCTCTCCTCCACTACAGTTCAGTGACAGGAGAATCTGGGCATCATACTCCACAGGGGGACCATGCAGGGTCATCCCCACCCTCAGTAAGGATCCTGGGGAGAAGAGAGAGCTTCTTCCCTGCTCTTTTTTTTTTTCCTTTTTTTTTTTTTAATTGTGAAGTTGAAAAACAAAAAACATAGTGAGTTTACTTTCTGTCAATGGCAAAAGACTTGCAGTGGAAAGTGAGTACAACTAAGTGTCAGGCCTCCTGAGTACATTAGTAATTCAAACCACAGTTCTAGAACAGCCATGAAAGAAACCTAGGGCCACTTTAGGTGCATCTGGAGGCTAGGAGGCAGCCTATGCCATTAAGTGATAGGGAAGCATTGTGGGAAGGGTATGACTAGCCTAAGTATGAGCATGTCTGCTCCCTTGCTCATGATCAAGGCACTGGGGCACCCAACACTACCATCCAGCTTCACTTAAGTCATAAATCAATCCCTGTATGTCAGAACGGTGGGACAAAAAGATCTGCATTTGCCGGGTGCCAGTGGCTCAAGCCTGTAATCCTAGCTACTCAGGAGGCTGAGATCTGAGGATCGCGGTTCAAAGCCAGCCCGGGCAGGAAAGTCCATGAGACTCTTATCTCCACTAGAAAACTGGAAGTGGTGCTGTGGCTCAAGCGGTAGAGCGCTCACCTTGAGCTGAAGAGCTGAAGGACAGCATCCAAGCCCAGAGTTCAAGCCCCAAGACCGACCAAAAAAAAAAAAAGATCTGCCTTTGTCTCAAATCTTCTCGGTATTGTGCAATGCTCTGCTCAGATGTCACATGAGAACAGGGTGGCCAACAAAGCAAAGTTTCAGGTCAGGAAGGGGTCTTGGGCACTGTCTGCACCACAGTTTTTTATTTCGCTTCTGTTGAGTCCTGGAGGAGCCCAGATCCCGTGCTTTCAGTCCCATCCTGCCCACACTGGATGCCAAGGAATGAGAGCTCCAATATCACAGACCTATGAAGCCTCAACCTGTCTGTTTTATCGATGAGCAAGCCAAGTTCCAGAAAGCAACATCAGCACCAGAACCTGACAACCCAAGACGACTCTAGTAGGATGCTGGGCTACTATAGCATGAAAAATACACTCCTCTAGAAGACATTGGTGATGGAGGAGGATAAACCCTAGCCCTTCCCTAGGAGTCTAATCAATCCTAGCATCAAGGCAAATCTGACCACAGACATAGCCCATCTGTTTTCTTCTGAGGCCTAGTGAAGATTCCCCAGTAGTTGCTACAGACACCACATAGTCTGGCCTATGAAAACTCAGGCTCAAAGGTGCTGAGCAAGTCTATCACTATCACCCAACCTCCATCCACCATTACTGTAAATAGTTGCCACATGACACATCATGAAGTCAAGAAAGATGATGCCCTTGGGGCCAGACAGCTTACCAACTGAGGGTCCTGAACCAGGGCAGGTCATAGGAGTGGTAGACATTATAGCCGATAGTGATAATCTCATGGAAACACTTAATCTGAACACACATCACCTGTAAGGCAGAAGAATTAGAGCACTCTTGTGATCGGTGGAAAGAGAAACTAGTAGATCACAGGTCTTCAAGAAAAACTGCTTAAGAAAAACAAATTCAGTCTTGCAATGATTCTTATCTCCTCTTCTTTCCTTTTTAATATCATCCTACACAGCAAATGTACCCCTTTATGTCACAAGGAACAGATAATCTCTCTCATGATAAAATGCACAGTCCTGATGTGTTGATTAACTTTATTCTAGAACCATCCAGCACTCAACTAATCCCTTTTGACTTTTGGCTATAAATATGTGAAAGGCCTCAACTGCTTTGCTCAGCATTCAGCTGTTGTCATGTAGTCTTGTCCCTGACACTGGGAAGAATAAAAACAGCTGTGGACTGTGGCTTCTCAATGAGGGCTCACTAAGCCCATGGGAGAGGCCCCAGGAAAACAAGAAACAAAACCAGAAGTCACACGAAGACACAGACAGGACCATAGTTTAATCAAATATCTGTAATTATAGATTCAATCTGAAAAAGAGACATCTTTAACCATAAGCAAATGCCAGTGATACTCCAGTTGGCTACCAACACGTAAGAGGTCACAGATGGTCTGAGAGAGATGTGTCCTGAAGAGCCTGGAGTCCCACTGATTCCCCAAACCAACCTGACAACTGGCACTGATGACAACCCATCCAGCGGAAAACGCTTAAAAGGCATGCAAGTGGCACTTACAATCATCATTAACACCATTGGTCCCAGGTAAATGATTATGAAGAAAAATGCAATCATGGCCAAAGTCAGGATGCCTCTCACCCACCAGTTCTTCCATCTAGGTGAGAGAGTAGCATAAAGAGAAAAACAGTAGTTAGGGACCCCGAAAGAAATGAAGAACAAACCCAAAGGAAATAGCTCTCTTGGAGGCTGGAGGGCTCTCCACTCTCAGTCCTTTCCAGAGCCTCTCCTTTACCATGACAGAGGCACTATATCACATGCTGGCTGGAGTGGGACCAGTAGCACCAATGCCTCTCTATAACCAAACTCAGCATGTAGCCCATAGCTCAAAGAAAAATATACCCAGCTTATGTGTTAGGAAAAAGTACCAGGGGAAAACAAAAGCAGGGAAAGTAGTGTTCCTGGTCATCTCTAACTGAAGAAAAAAAGTTTAGAGATAATATTTTTCCTGCAGGAGAATTCATTATCACAGTGACAATAGCCTTACAACAGCTATCACAAAATAGGGAGAAGGCACGGAAATAAGGATTTACTGAACTCATCCAACCCCTCAATACAACTGGTTAAATTTTTCATTTTATTTTAAACCAATTTTCCTTCAAATGGCATTTTTTCTAATTGATACATACATAGGACTTTACCTATTTTACTGAGGAAATGAAAACATCAGCCACACAGCTCACAAATGCTGTAGCTGAGAATTGAGGGGTGTGGCTCCAGACTCAAAATCCATACCCACTGTGCATACAGCCTCACAAAGGGTCAACTAGGAGGCACACACAGAAACACTTTCAAATAATGCTTTGGGGTCTTCTAACTTATGTTTCTTTCATTACACAGCTAGTGTTAGAAGGAACAGCTTCTCAAGAGCTAATTCACCTAAGTGATGTTTCCAAGTTCTTCCTGGATAACTAAAAGAACAGTTCACCATGGATGTATATGCAAGTGGTAAAATCCAGCCTTGAACCAGAAACCCTACCCCAAGTCATCCCTGGCTCTTGGACCCTAAGCCAGGTTATTTACCTTGAAGACAAGTTGGAAAGGGCCCTGTTGAGGACCTCTGGGGTATCATCTATGGAGGTTGGTGGAGGAGCTGGCTCTGTTCGGCCCTCACTGTCTGATGCAGTCTCTCCATCAATCTTTGCTTCTGATTCTGACTCCTACATGGCAGAAACAGAGAAGAGGATAAAATCAAAAATGTCAAATAATGGGCTGGGAAGGTGGCTCAGTGGAAGTGACTTGCATGCATGAGGTCCTGGGTTCGATTCCTCAGCACCACATAAGTAGAAAAAGCCAGAAGTGGTGCTGTGGCTCAAGTGGTAGAGCGCTAGCCTTGAGCTGAAGAGTTGAGGGACAGCGCCCAGGCCCAGAGTTCAGGCCCCACAACCAACAATCAATCAATCAATCAAATAAGCTGAGAAGTGTGTACCTGTCACCTGTGTGAAACACTCCAAACCTGGCCTGGCAGGATTCAGCACTCTAATTGAGCTACAAATTAACAGGATTTTTTTTGGGGGGGGGTTATGGGGCTTGAACTCAGAGTCTAGAGCTCTTTTACTCAAGGCTACTGCTCTACCACTTTGAGTCACAGCTCCACTTCCAGTTTTTGAGTGGTTAATTGGAGCTAAGAGTCCCCAGGGGACTTTTTCTGCTGGGGCTGACTTCGAATTGCAATGCCCAGATCTCAGCCTCCTGAGTAGCTAGGATTACAGGCATGAGCGACCCATGCCTAGCTTCACAGGATTTTCTGTAGTGCATTCTAGTCTTTTAAGTTCTTTGTGTTACTAGTACTTTATAAACAAATATGTTCTCCAAGCTTAGGCGCACCTAACCAACAGACCTCTCTTTCAGCACTAACCACAATGGAGACTTTTTCATAACTGTCTCCCTGACTGACCATACACTCCCTAAAAATGGAACCATGGTATCTTGTTCTCATTTCCCCATGCGTGGTCCACAACAAAATGCTTACTAATGGGGGGTGGGAGAAAAGGAGTGGTAGGGCAAAAGGAATTAATTCTATGCATGCTAAAAAGCAACTCAGCCCTCAAGGAAGGGCTTTTTCTAAATGTATAACTTTGATAAGACACTAACATAGAAGGCCTTAGTACAACAGTTAGTTTGGTAAAGCCTGTGGAAAGAGCCTCACTAGGAAGGAAAAAGCCACAGCTGAGCCAGATGGCTCTGACAAGGTGTCCTCACCTTATGAAAGGGCCTGTTAAGGAATTACCTTGGGGGTGAGGGGAACAGGACCAGGGAACCTAGGGCCTTGTTAGGCTAGTACGTGGCACTAAGCTCCACCCCCATTCCTTGAAGAGGGATAACCAATCTTCACTCAGGGCTGTGTCCTACTCCACCACCCTAGAAGTTCTGAAACACAGCCACACCCCCAGAATTGCCTCTCTCTATACGAAATAAAGACCAGACATTCAGAACAGCTTTTCATTCTTCAAATATTTACCCTCATACCCCACTGACAAAAACAAATAATACAGGGTAATGCTTCCCAATATCTAGTCTGATGGCTAAACCTTAGGACCCTGTAAAGCACCCACGGATGTGCTTTAAAGAGCATCTTTGAAGCCCTTAGCACAGCCTTAGCACAGCAGGGGAAAGGGCATTCGCTCACAACAGAAAAGGCCCAGCACAAGGTTATTTTTAACTTATCCATCCTGTTGTCAAGGAGACAAGTCCACAGGCAGGGAAGGGCAAGAACACAGCCTGACGTTGGGGGTGGGAGGAAACAGCTCCAGCTTCATGCTAAGAATTTCTCTGAATTTTCCAAGGACCTTTTATGAACTGTGAGCCCACCTCCACATCCCCCAACTTGATTCCACACAAACACATGCACATCTTGAATGAAGCACTGCTGTTTTTAATACATCTCAGAGTGACTGAGACAAGACTAAGAAATAAAGAGCCCTGAGGAAAGTCTGAAAGATTCATTTCTTAGGTTTTTACCTGTCCTTAAGTGAGTCACCTGCCCCCATCCACTTCTGAATAAGCCAGAGGCACCTGCTGAGCCAAAGATCAACACTTAAACACACCCCCTCCTTCCCACAGATGAGACAGACCAAACAGGCTTAAAGAGTGAATCCCTGTGAAGAGAAAGGAGGGAAAGAAGGCAAGTCAGCCAGTTCTCCAGCTCCTGATCTCCACCCCAACAGATGGTGCAGGCCAGGGGAACAGAAAACTCCAGAGAACCTGGAGACCTGTAGGTTTTGGCTCCTCCCTAGTCCATGGCCAAAGGCTAGGTAAAGGAAGCGGAGCATTGGCAACAGCTTCTACAGTGGGCCTAAAGTGAGATCAAAGCCCAAAGTCCAGGAGTCCCATGTTAGGTCCAGCCACTCTCCCCCACAGGCCAAACACTGACATGTCTTCCCATGGCAGTACATCTCCAGCCATCCTTAAGGGTACAGACAGTGGCCTTGGATTAAAATCAGAAAGTTGGGTGCAAGAAGAGGGAAATGTATGAATCTTTAAAAGTCTCACATCACATTAGTTTAGTCTCTGATGCTGAGGCCTGGCTAGTTTATAGCTTTTAGCTGTTCTTGTCAGGATGATTACAAGGCATTGTCTGCCTGGAGGGGGAGTTTAACCTTCTGTCATAAGATGTTTATTAGTGAATCCTGATCTTCCTGAAGCCCAAGGTGATTATAAATTGACTACAGGAGAGAATGACTCAAATCAAAAGACACAGATGCAAATTGGGAGGGCTAAGTATCTAGCTTTTATCTTGCTTTTAGTTAATTTACAGGGCCCCCCCAAAAAAAAACAGCTTAAAGAAGGAGGCTGTGAGCTGGAACCCAAGTTCCTGCCTGTAAGAAAAATGGTCCATTCTGGACCCCAAATCAGAGACGCTGAACATATCCATTAGTTTGCTGTTTCAGTGGATGGCAGGACAGGCAGAGGACTAAGCCAGCTTCCTGCAGGCAGCAAGCAGCCAGTCCAAGAAGTAGGACCCAGAGACAGCTCTGATGCTCATCATATTTAGAGCACAAGCTCTTTTCTCTGGTCTTCCTAGTGGGGCAGGTATTATGGAGGTTGGGTTGGAGGCAGTCAGATGCAATAAGGGTAGAAATCTGTATCTGTCCTGTCCCACTTCTCAGTAACCTATGCACACAAGAACATTAAATACCTACCCCAGGCAACCTGGGCACCCTATCCTAATTACTTTAGCTCAACATTTGCCTTGCCTGGCTTTCCCTTTTCACAGTCAGTCTCAGCTCAAAAAACACTGAGAGCTAATGTGTGAAGTGGTGTCTGACACATGAAGGCTATACTGCTCTGTGGAGTGGTAGGAGGAAATACCAGCACTTCCTTCTACTTATCCTCATTTTCCTTCCCTTCTCTGCTTTGTAATACACACATGAGTGCACATATATACCTTTATAGGTATCTGTAAAGTGGGCACATGGTAAAACAAAATATAGTTGTCTGGCATGGTGATTTCTCACTGTACTGAGCGTGCCTGGAACATAGCAAGCAAAGATTTGCTGAACAATGAGGTAATGAGCTAATTTATTCTTTAGGGCCTATATCACAGACCCAAGTACCCAGCCTGCATTGAGAGTTTCATAGCACCCCTTTCAACTCCTAGCTTGCAGCCTTGATCCTGCTTCTTTAGGCTCTGCCTTGGCAGTGGAAGGGGATGGATGGCTGGTAGGAGGCCCAGCTCTGGAGCCAGCACCGAGTAGCTAGAAAAGGTCACCTTGCCTAGACTGTCTCAGCTCTGCTCCCAGGACTCTTCCTTCTTCCTTCCTTTCCAATGCACAAAACCCAGCAAATACTGAGCAAGGCAGGCCTTCTCAGATCCCAACTGAAGCAAGCCCCATCCTCCCATAGTTCCTGAGCCATTCCCAAGGGGATAGTGATGCTGGTGTAAACAGGAAACAGCGCTTGCTCTAAAAGGAAGGGGGAAAAAAAAAGCTCCTGCTGAGGCGCCCTTCCTTTGGTTCCCAGAAATGCTATCCTTTAAGGAAAAGCAGAGAGGCACTTAAGAGTGATAGCACATGGAAAAAGGTACCAAAAACCCAGCAAAAGCCATCAGAACTTTTTGAGAACCTCATATTCAAAAAGCTTCTAGCTCACTTCTCCTGACTCATCACTGAAGAAAGGTGAGGGGGAGGAAGGGATTGGAGACCATGATGACACAGGGTGGGACAGAGGACAGTATGTGGAGTGTTTTGGGCTCTGGAAAGGCCTCTGGAAAAGGACCTTGCTCAGCCTCCTGTAGCCTATATGTACCACTATTACTCTCTGGGTTGAAATCATGCCATATTTCTTTCCACTCATTCTAATGATGTCCTAAATGTCTGTTCTGACTTACAAAAGCAGCAGCCACCCACAAAACAGTATATTGGAAATGAACTTTACAACTTTGGGGGGGGGGGGAGTGAGGGAGGTGGGGAGGGAAGGGATAGTGGGAGAACAACAAAGGAAGGGGCAACAGTGCTGCACAAGAAATGTACTCATTACCTTATTCGTGTAACTGTAACCCCTCTGTACAGCATCTTCACAATAAAATAAAAAGCAGCAGCCATTTGAAGCTCTCTTTGTGACACCACAAATGACCATGGACAGACCTTTTTTTTTTAAGTATGGCTGTGGTCAGAGTTGGACTGAAGTCCTTAGCATTGTGATATGTGGCCTCTAGGTAGGTAGAACTTAACTTGCCCCACTTTTCACTTTTTTGCCACATGCCAACTCCACTTTGTACCCACACAACGGTAGATATTAATGTTCCCTTCATGTGTGCCTAGTAGGAGCTCAAACCTGGGGAAAGGAAATAAACGGTACTCTCCATCAGAATCTTATCCTTCTTCCCTTCCATCTTGTTCACTGACTGGTTATGCTCCCAAACCAGCTCACCCTTCACACATTTCACTGACGGACTCTAACAAAACTATTTTTGCACTGCTTTATATGCAAATTACAAACCTTTTCTTGGAACAAAGACATCAGTCTAAGGATAACCTTTATGCTAAATACCAAGCCTGCCAACTTAAGCCTAGTGGCCAGCTCTCAGGGTAATCAACTCTCCATCTTAAGATAGATCCCTGGGAGAGAAATTGCCAGAGAAGAGAGAGTCCTTAGGAATCACTAAGAACTCTTGTATCTCTAAAATGAATAGGCCAGTAAGTTTCCATCTGAGGTTTTG